GCTGCTCTCCATCCATTCCTCACCCAGCCTACCTGTGCACTACTGCAGAGAGGAACACAGGAAGGCTGGACCGCAGCTATAGATGGTCAGAAAAAGAGATGGCACAGGCAGATGTCTGAAATTTGCAGCAGGTTGTTCAGAACACGGAACCAAACACAGCTTTCCAAAGCCAAATAGCTTTATCATCCACGTAACCTCATTTTGCTAAAAAGGAGCGTGACCCTCTTGACAGCAACCAGGATACACGGCCATTTCTTACAGAACCAAATACTTTATGGACTTTACCAATGCAACCCTACAAAGCCGAGCAGAGGGACTGTGTGATTTCACCCACCTCTCGATACATTTGTGAATCCTCCTCCACTGGGGATAGTGCGCTTCTTGTTCAAAGCCCCCTCCTTTGGCCCTGGCCTGCTGGGCAACGTTCAAGGACCTCGTATCAATGATGTAGCCACGCTTGCCAGGCCGTAGCGTGGCATTAATGAGCTTCTCATCTTCTTTACATCGTCTCCCATTCGTACCTGTAAGAGGCTGGCTACTTCGCATCATCACCTGCAGAGACAAATAACCATGAATTAGGCACTGGAAATGGAGAGACTTAAGATTGAAAATCACTGATTACTTCAGCTCCAATACAAGAATTGGAGGTTTAAACTCACTATGCAAGTGACACCCCTCCACTAGAGGATTTTTTTAGGCATCTGCAATCAGAGACTGAAAACTGATCTATTAGATCACTGGATCTCAACGTCAGGCATGGAGAATGGTTCCCTAGAGAAGTGTGCTGCCAAAATTCGCACAGGATACTCCTATTTCCCATAAAAACTCAGGTCATTGTAAGAATGCTGACAGGAGTGAGACAACTCAACCTTAAAAAAAAGCTTCCTCTATCAGTTCGGGGGTAACGTTCAAGTGGGGTTCTCGTGGATCTCCAGCTCTTCACTGTGGAGTTGCACCAGCAAGTGCAGCTCTCATCTCACCACGCTTCCTGCTTCTACCTACCTGGAGCTTAATCCACCAGGTCTGGACACAGGCAAACAGTCTGACGCACAGAAGTGTTTCTATAGTTCTTACTACAGCTGCTGTTCTCCCTTGTCCTGAATCCTTCAGTTCTTTTAAGTGCAATCCTTTGCATGGACTGCATTTATTTAACAAACCAGAAATCCTTGAATTGAGCAATCATTTGGCAGGCCACTTTCTAAATTACAGACATCTATCCCTTTAATTATTCCTGCAGTACCATCTTTGTGAGCCATTGACTGGCTTCCTGCATTATAAACCAGCATTTTCAGGATTGTCATTTAAGGTCTCTTCCCAACTCTGTTTCTAAAACACTCAAGTCATTCATGTGTTAAAGATGCCTGTTCGGTACAGTTTTTTTTCGGTACAGTGGCTAGATTAATAAACCCTAGGTCCACAGATTTATTAGCTGAGATTTCTCTTTAGTAAATGCCTTTCAATTCAGAGAGCATCCCAGCAGCCCAAGTGATAACTAAAATGTGAGGGCAGCCAGTCAGCAACCCCAACTATGCTTGAGAACTCAGCGTCAGGAGAACAAAGGTGACAGACAGCATTACTGTCACAAGTTCAAGCACTCCAAGCCAAATGCTATTATATTCCTCACACTTGAAACATGAAAAATATGGAGAGATAAAATATGGAGAGATAATTGAACAAATCTTCCTTCGACAGTTTTCAGTCGGGCTGAGAAAAAGCAGAAAGCATGACTTAAGAAGTGGGTGGATGGCTGATTTTAAAGCAAAGCAAAAAAAAACCCACAACCCAAAGGTGCTACTAAGTTAAACTAGAAGTCCTCTAATTCAGGGCTTACGAGTCTTGGCAACAGGAGGTGAGAACACATTAGAGCACTTGGCTCAGAAGCCTGCATCAAGTTTACAAGCCACAGGTTGGACATCCCAACATCCTTGGAACTGGTTACATCAGCAAGAGATACAAAGAATTACTCAACAATTTCATAAAGCGTGTTTCTTAATTATAGTGTATCAGTCACTCAATTAGATTTGGCTTGTCAAAAGGTGGTAAAGTCTGTGCAACACCAAGAATTTGCTACTCCTGAAACATGTTATACCGACAGGCTCAGAGAACAGATTGTTCTGATCAGTCCTTGGATAGTTACAGAGCAGAAACAGTGCTGGCTCTGAGCACGCTTGCTGTCATCGTGAATATTACGAAGGAGACAGTCCACCACCCAGAGACAGGACAATGTGGTTTCTGCCATCCTTTCAGCATGAAGTCTCTTGGCAGACAAAGCAAGTGAGGGTGCCAGTGGTGGCTTTACAAGTCTCATCTTGCTCTTACTGCTGTGAGCAAGCTCATGCCACATACGCTCCCAAACAAGCAGCTTAATAGCTATTTCTAGGGCAGCAATTACTCATTCCATCAGCCAGAACCAGTTTCATTGCATATACTTAATAAGTTGAAAAATAAAATGAGCTAACATCTCATGAACTGTATTAAATATAGAGCACAAGTTGTTTTTTCATTAAATGAAGAGATTCACACACTTCCTTCAGGTACAACCATTACTCAAATGCAGCTTACCATCCCGTTCTTCTTATGATAATAGCTGAGGACTGGGAAGCGACTGCCATGGCGAAACATGGCAACTTTCCGAAGTGCTTCATCATCGATGGATTTGGGGACAATGACAACTGGAGGGTAGGAGGGACAGACAGAGAATTCCTTATTGATGCAGCTGAGACGCCATTCATCTGTCTGAGAAAGATAAGAACATATAGGCTTTGGGACAAAAACCAGAATATTTCTGTTACAGCATAGCATACTAGGGAAGCTGAACTTTCACATTCGGAATAAAGCACGCACAGAATATTAGTGATCTATTCCATTTGCACCACAGCTGAAGGCTCAGTTGTCTCATATTGGTCATCTAGGAATCTGGACTCTCTGTAACAGCATAATTATGCTAATCAGTCAGATCAAATCCAGCACCGTATCCTGTCTCCAACAAAAACGTGGCCGAAGAGATGCTGTTCAAGAAGAACAAACAAGACTTGTCCCTCTCTGCAGTGCACTCCTCATCCCCTACCTCTCAGATGTTTTATTACAGACATTAGAAGGTATAGCCCTGCCTAGTCCTTTTAGTATCCATTAATAAGTCTGTTGATCTATTATTTTTTGCCCCACACCTCTTGAAGCTGCCTGCAATCATAACACCTTGTTGCAGCAGCTCCCAGAAGCTCACTACCAAGCGTGCAGATAATTTTTTCTGTTGCCTACAAACTTTCAGGTGACTGGTTCCTGAGGTGCAGGACTTGAACAACGGTTCCCTGTCTGGTTTATCCACATCCTCAACAAACAGCACAAAATAAGCCCATGTGATCAGAAATGGGTGATTGCAGCTTTTAATTATTTCACAGACACAGCAGGCAGCATGTCTGCAGTATGCACTACAACGTAACTTAAAGCACTTGCAGATTGCTCCAATCTCACAGGAAGCAAGAATGTTGTATGTCTCGCTCTTGGGGAGACCCCAGAACAGAAGTGTATTCCTGCATCAGCAGATTTAGGGGAAAAAAGGTTGATTTATGCAGGTGACATCTGTGCAAACCTCTGTCTGTGCCAAGAGCACAGTTAGTAACGTTGTCCCCGAGAACACTGGCAGCCAAGAGGCAACTCCATACATTGAAGCTCATTTGCGATTAAAATTGCAATTTAACCTTACCAGTTTGGTTCTTTCCTATGGGCTCTGCTTTATGTAAACCACTACAGCTGTTCCTCCAAAAGCACCTCCGGGAACCAGCACAGCATCTGAGCGCAAAGGTCTCATCGTAAACTCCTGTTACATAACTTTTCAGCTTCCAACAGCCGAGCACTTGTGCAAAGTGCTGAATGGTGGCACCCTGCAGCCTCACGGGCACTTGGCATGAGAACCCAGTCTACCCCATACCCAGGGTCAGACACAGGACTTGGCTCCATCTCAGACAAAACCAAAGGTCAACGGGCGGCCTCACTGATGAGGAGTCCTTGCTTACTGAAGTCCAGGCTGGAAGAGCTAACACTGCCCTTACTGTAGCCTCCAACACACCCAGCCTTCACGGAGGGCTTGCTGCTTCTGGGCTGGTACCACACCACTGCCTGCTGCGTTATCCAGGTACATCAAGCGGCCACGAGACATGTATTTTTCCCTGAGGAGCACACAGCAGAACCTTGCCTAAAATTTGGCAGGAATTGAGCTCATGGTTGTCAGTAGCAGAACAGTGGCTGGGCTGCATCGTCGGTCAGTGCATCCTTTTCCTGTATTCCTTATGGCCAGCAAAACCTGCTGGCAGAAGTCTTGGTGGGGAAAATGACCCAGAAGCCTCTACAACATGTTTTGATTTTAACAGCAGCCTTAAATTCTTAAAGTAGCAGCAGAATAGCAGTTAAATTTGCCTGTAAAAGCTTCAGACACAAAGAAATTAAAGTGAAATATAAAAACCTTTTCAAGAGGAACAGACATCTGCTTTCAAGGTGGATTTTTTTTTTTTTTTTTTAGTTCCTAAGCACTGACATGACACAGGAGGGAGAAAGCAAACAAGACCTTAAGTAACTCCTTATCTGAGGTGTTTTCAGTACAGACTGGGAAGTACTTTTGTGCTACTGCAGCAGGCAGAGACCTCATGCAGCTGCCATAAAAAACTCTGCTCATTTGTGTTTAAAGAAAGTTTCAGCTAGACAAAGAGGTAGGGGGATAAAGCAGGTATCACAGAAAGTAAGAGAAGAGCATGACAATTAAATTATGCAGTAAAAGAATACACAAAAAAACCTACGTCAAATCAGGAAGGGTGGTTTAGCATGCATTAATTACACAGCTCTGAGTAGAAGCAGGTCTCTCTTCCTCTTTCCTTTCTTCCAGAGGCTTACTACCTCATACCTTACACCTCCTGACTGGTACCTGGTTATACAAATCTGACTGGCTCACAGATCCAATGGAAAACTAGGATCAACTTAGGAAAGTTTTCTGGCAATGAATTTTTTCCATCAGATGAATAAGCTGATCTGATTCACAACACTATTTCATCACCGGTAGACCCAAGGCACGGGATGTGGGGTGTAGGAGACAGGCTGCCACCAAAAGGGACAATTTTGCTAAGAAAAAGATGCTGGGTAAGGTACACCTGTGTATTATCATCATCAAGAACAGCAACTGCTACCTGTGTTCAGTAGCCTATCTGGACAGTCTTGCACCATCCCTGTTGTAAGCTTATTTCATTATTCATTAGCCTCAAAACAGCTTCTTCCAACATCTACATTTTATAAAAAGCAGAGGTTCTCCCAGATGCAAAATTAAATTGCCTCCAGCAATTACATCATAGGTGGAGATGAAAGAAGTTCTGGATCACATAAGGGAAGCTGGCTGGTCACAGCTCATGCTTTTAATGCACCAAAAATGATTTTTTTTTTTTTTTTTTACAGCTTTTTGGGTTGTCTCTCTTAAGTTAGAGATTTCATGACAGTGTGCAATTTATTTACAATGGAAAAAATATGCATGGATATAGAAAAGAACTGATAAATGCCTTACTGCCACATAGGGTGTACAGAAAGCAAAATCAGAACTCTGTGGTATGCTTTTTTGAGAGACTGGCTGTCACTGATATCGCCAGTATGAAAACGAATGGAAGAGTATCGACCTGACTTATCTCCCACTTTGGTAATTTAACTCTGCCCATAACCTCCTGTCCTCACCATTTATAACATGAGACAGATGATACTATTATGTCATCCTGTTATAATTTACTGTTAGATGGGAAGGAGGAGGAGCATGGCAGCAATTAGCACCATTTGTCTTCTATACCATAGCTACTTCCACAGAGATTCATTTAACCTCTGCAATGCCAGCTTCAGACTGCTAAAATACACTCTGACATCAATCAGATGAGAGTAAAACCCAACAGCGCAGGTGTCTTCGTGGCTTTTACTTGGGGTACATCTGCAATTTGGAAGAAAAAATTGCCATTACTGACTGGAAGAGTGAGGTAACGTCAATTCAACTGTATGCAGCAGCAGTTGCAGGAAGCAGTAAGGACTGCGGTGAAAGAGAAGAGGTGGACCTCATCTTCAGGCATCACCAGATAAGTACACTGCGTGAAACTCAGAAAGTACAAAGTTAGCATTTACTTAATTCCAATTAAGGCTAGAAGCAGCAAAGGATTGGGGGCAGAGCAGAAAGGAGGGAGGATTCCAAAGAAGAGAGACAGTAGTCAGAAGTTTTTTTGGTTTTTTTTTTTTTTTTTAAACACAGTGCAGGATTAACTCTTACATTTCTACTTTTCTTGTCCTAGTACTTGTTTAGAAATATTTATTTTCAAATGTTATTGAAAGGCTAAAACAACAGTTATCCTTCCTCTTAAAACTTACAATTGCTAGGAGAGGTCGTTTTCCCCAAAACAGTGTGAAACAATTCAAGGTCTACTAATAAGCCTTAAAAGAAGAGTCATGAAACCAGCAGAGACCTTGAAGCTCCTGCAAAGCAGCAATGACACAGGCCATCACCAAACAACAGGTAGAAGGCAACAAGCCCTGTTAGTAACAGATTGTGCGCAGACAAGAAGCATTACCAGCAGGAGCAAGCAAAGATTGATGCTTGTCTGATAAGAGCAAAATATGGGCTATCCACACCATTGCAAAGTGAGCCCAAACTCAGGAAATCTAGGTGTGGTTGTTTTTTTTTTAAAAAAAAACAAACTCCAGTACAGAAGATAAAGCACAGCTGAACTGTCCAGAACCCTGAGCTCTTTCCTACAAGAAAATGGAAGAAGAAAAAAATAAGAGAATGAAGAAAGTGAGTTTTGTGGCAATGAAACACCTTCACTTTATACTGTTAGCGTACAAATTTCTCAGGGCCTCTACACTTAACTTTAAGATGAAACTGAATTTCCAGAGTTACAGTTTGCAATATCCTGCAGTTGTAGGATTTGGCAAAAGAGACACCTATTATCTCTTCTCTGACTCCTCAGAAAAAAAAACATGAAACCCCTCTAATTCCATTCAGCCACTCAAGCGGTAACGCAGTAGTACAGTGAAGAACATGAATTTTCACACACATTTCACCTGACATCTATAACCAATCCAAATTTCACATACTACCCAGTGCTTCAAGCAAACCACAATGCACGCAATCAAAAGGTGGATAAGGAAACGTTAACCATCCTGTGCATCTGTTGCTCCACTTATGTATTTGTCTATAGTATCTTTAAAGTCTCATCTTGCAGTACAATAGTTTGGAGCCCGCAGGCACAGTGGAAGTTTTGCGGTGACATTTAGTGAAACACTGCGCTGATTTCTTCATATGACTTAATTCTCAGCTGAACTACTCTGTTGATACATTGGATTTATCTCAACAGCAGTTCATGGAAAGACACTTGACAAAAGCCCGCCTGACCTGTGCTGTGGGTTATTCCCAAAAAATAGGAATAACAGGCAGCGCACACGCCAACAGCCGTCAGCAAGTGACAGTCTACAGAAAGTTATTAATTTCTCCAATTTCTTTAGATCAAATGAAATAATTTGCCTAAACAGTTCTTCCCTTAACACCTTCACAGACTAAATGCAAGAATGTTGTGATAGTGCAGCAGCCTCCCTAATGCTGGAGCTGAGCTGCAGGGGTGTTTACTATCAAATTCGAGGGGCAATGCTAGATGACACGTTGACAGATCAATGCAGTGGAGTGAAATCACTGTGTGAAATGTGTGTTGGGAGAAAAATACATTGGGCACAACATAAGCCAAGATAAACAGAGAAAATATTATTATATAGTATAATACTATAATAGATTATCTAATTTTTAATGTATTACCTAACTTTTTTTAAAATCTCAACTGTTACAGTTTTCCTTTGCCATTACAGAATGTGTCAGAGTTTTAAAACAACTCTCGTGTAGCAGACAAATGTGGAATTAATACATTACTAGAGCTGCAGTGCAAGTAAAATGCAGTTTTTGAAAGTTGTTACCATATTGGGGAAGGTAAGGCATAACAGATCCAGATGGATGATTTAACAGAGAGGGAGGTAACCTTCTGAATTCCACTCATTTGACTTATGGGAGAAAAAAAAAAAGTCAGCCATTTATTTGTTCTAGCCTGTCATGTAAGAAAGTTTAATTACAGAGCAAGAATTATTTGGTCAACAATATTTTTATCTGTTGTTCAGGAGAAGCCATTTGAACATGGCTTTTATCACCCTTTCTTTTAAAAGAAGTAAAGCTGAAGTTTTGGGTTAAAAGCCAAGAATTAATCAACAGCTGCTAGACATGCATATTTTAAAGAAATTAATTATTGCCCTTGAAATGTAACACTACAAAATAATTAGGATTTAAATGTAAGCCTTCCAAGGAGCACATGTTCAGAAAGGCAAGAGATCCACAAATAAGCTATCAATGCAATTTTAAACCTCTGAAAGGAAAAAAAAAAGCAGCATATCAATGGATCCATGTTAGCACCTGCATCTGCGTGCTGCTAAATACAACCATCAAGTGCTGAAGTCTGAAAAGGATTTCAGCTACACATAGAGAGCAAAACATGAACAGAAGCAGAACCATCTCCTGCAATCTTTCATTGAGCTCCGAGGGATTTCTTTCTGCTGCCTTCAATCCGGCTTTCACACTCCTCCCTTCTCACCAGATAGCACTTCAGCTTCTGGCCTTTTGATTCTCACTGAAATGCCTGCAAGCTTCCTCTGCTGAGCTGGGAAAGCGTCTGCCGCTTTGCCTCCCAACAGGAGCACACACTGATCACATTTGATTTCCCCAGCTGAAATTAAAACCAAAACTGTGGTGCTAGTTGTTATAACTGGTCAGTTTGTATGTCTTTTGACAGCAGAAGATGGGACACGTGAGAGTAGTCCAACTACAAGACAAAAATAGAAAGATCCCTGAACTCCTTTAATTTTCCAGTGATTTCATCATATGAATCTGGTCAAGCTAATCATATTATTCAGTTATTAGTCATAAACAGGAAGTAATAAATGCTGCAGATGAGCTGGGTTGCAAATAAAAGAAACAAATCAATGTTCTTTGATGCTGCACTAATGGATGTGGTCTCAGAAACCTAAGATGATGCAGCAAGTGCACACTTTTAATGCGAAACAAAGACCTGGAACACAGAGATGCTAACCCAAGGCACGATTAAAACGGGTACGCTCCTGCAACTGAGCTAGTTCCCCACTATATCAAATTCAGTATTCTAAAATGAAGTTTGAGTAACAGATACAACAGGCAACGCCACAAGAACAATTTCTACCCTACAGGTACCAAAATACTGTGCTCACAGAACCTGGAAGAATACAACTGGAAATTCCCTGCTGTCTGAACACTCACAGTATTTCCCCAGCATGGATTAGAGTGAAGAGTGTTTCAAATCAGGCATCTTTACCTACTGTCATCTTCCTGTACAGCTAAGCAATCCTTAGCAATTTTGAATTTGTTCTTACAATAAGGAGGGTCATCCCCAAGGGACTAAAACACTTCCTATCTTCACATCCTCCCAGGTAACTCAAATAGGCCTCAAAGCTCCCTTTGTAGAAGGTAAAACACAAATGCTAAACAGGAATATTAGCACATAAACAGAAATGCTTGTTGTTTACAGAATGAATATTTGAACAACACTCACTTTCCACCCAGGCATGGAACAGCTCTTTTTACCATCCAGGATTTCCACTCCAGACGCTACCAGGTGAAATACTTCACAAACTACTTGCACAAAACTTATCCGAGTGCCTCTGCAAATCCTTGAATCCAACTTACCACTGAACTGAGGAGCTCAAACTCTTGATCAGGCAGAAAAGAGCGCCAGCCATCTTCAATGATTTCAAACATGGGCCGGTAGAAGAAGGGATACATGAGAGTGACAGAATCCAAAGTGGAAAGTGCCTGTGTGGGTGAGAGAAATTAACAGCTACTTAATTCATCCAGACTGCTATTTTATTCTAAAAAACATACAGCAATAGTGTTTTCCTCTAACATCGGTGATGCAAACTTAAGCCACCCAAAAGCATAAAACCATTAAGTTTGAAATACTAAGTTCCTGCAGGGTAGTTTAACACACAAAAAACAGTAGCACAGATAGAAGTGGATGATAACAGACAATCTAACAGTAAATGTGGATTTGTACACACAGTATCACTTCTGCAGGCTACACTATGCAACAACGCACCAAAGGATGAGAGAGATGCACACTGAACATAACTACTGGCACACATCCTACATGACGTTTACCTGATTGCTAAAAACAGAGTTTAAAGTCAAGAAGTCACTTAATATTGAGACACCTGAAACTCAACCCATCTGATGTGGTTTTGCCTCCTCATGCTCCAGCATAATGAAGCTGAGCTTCATTTTTGCAAATGCTATTGCAAGATTTTTGATCCAGAAAAGAAGTGGAGGGTTGGTTTGTTTTCTTAAAAAACCCTACAAGCAACAAACAATATTTTGAGAATTGAAAGGAAATATCCCACAATTCTCATTTGCCTTCCAGAACATCAGTGAAAACCTTCCTAACTGGGGGAAACCACCTACTGTTACGGTTGAGGCCAGATCAAGGTCTGAGAACGTAGGTGTTACTTACATAATGATTTCTTACCTCAATAGAACTAGCAATGTTCAAGCACTCCTCCATTCCAGGTATATCCAGCTGAATAATTCGCAGATCTTTGCATTTTATAATGATGGTACCTAATGAGCCCACAAACCTACAGCAAGAGATGAAGAAAGAGTCTCTTAAGAACAGAATCTTGTAAGGTACGATGAGGTACTATAGCTCTTCCCACAACACATGCCTACAAGACAAAATGCCTTTAGTAGTAATATGTCTACAATACCATCTTTCAAAGAATACATAAACAAAACAACCCCCTTCTTTGGTATTTGCAAGTTGTGTTCCACTTTTTTTTGTTTTTAGTTCCATCCTTGTGATATGGCAGTGAGTGGAAGGACTACAAGGTAGAGAAGAGAAGGTTTTCCTCCCAGCTTTGCTTTAAAACAGGAAAGAAAAGGTAAGCTCAGGTGGTTTTTTGATAGTACTAGAAGCTTCAGCTGCAAGTTTCCAGGTTCATTACAGTAATGTGTTGAAACTTTGAGGCCTGCTAAAAACATCCGACTTGAATTTAATTTTTAAAATAACATTTAAGTCTGGCTACTTTACACTCCTTTGTTTTTAACAGGGAAGTTTGGTTTCCGATACCTGCAGTCCCATGGAGCCATTTGCTCAGAGAAGTTAAAGTCTTACCACTGCTCAAGTCAATTCAGAGAAAACCTCTACATTACAAAACAAACACAGCACACAGACGCCCTCTCCAGTTTTCCTTATGTAGCTGAAAAGACGGATGATGCCTGCACAGAAACTCTTTTCTTTATGTTAACTAGCCCACAGCACTCACAGAAATGCTGTGGATTTTAGGTCACAAAGCAACAAACTAAGGAAAAGCAGCTGAATCTCCTCAGACACCACAGCAGTGTTTGCAGCAGCCAAGGACGATGCAAGAGGCAGAAGTAGGCAGGACGTGAAGGACCAAGCCTCAGGCCCTCGTGGCCTAATCCTCAGTTAGACCGTGCACACTCAAAGGCAGAGTTGTACATGCTCCAAGAGACCTGTTGCTAAGCCCTGGGTTGCTTCACCTGTGCTACGAAAGGTGCCTGTAATTTATTTTGGAATTATTATTCCAGCTGAAAGGTCATTATCTATTTCTTCTGTGCAGACAGAGGTTAACATGCAGAACCAATTATAATTTGGGTAGTGCTGAAGGAAGAACTACAGGTGTTTTGACAGAAAAGTTCTGCAACTCCAGCAGAGACAGCCTGTGCATCGTTTGCCCTTGTTGCAGTGCTATTTCACTGATCCCCAACACAGTAACACACTGCAGCTATATAACACACACGCATTGCCAGGGCTTTGTTTCCTTTCCACATTTCTTTAAGCAAAAAGACCACAGGAGATGACTAGAGATTGTTCTGCTTCTCCACAAACCTTACAGGTCATATTTAAGCTGCTTAAAAAAACTAGAAAAATTTAAGAAGCAGACTGATGACCATCTGATGATTAGGGAATCATAGAATGGTTTGGGTTGTAAGGGACCTCACAGCCCATCCAGTTCCAACCCCCTGCCATGGGCAGGGACACCCTCCACTAGCCCAGGTTGCCCAAAGCCCCATCCAACCTGGCCTTGAACACTGCCAGGGAGCCAGGGGCAGCCACAGCTTCTCTGGGCACCCTGGGCCAGGGCCTCAGCACCCTCCCAGGGAAGGATTTCTGCCTCCCATCCCATCTCCATCTCCCCTCCTGCAGCTTCAGGCCATTCCCCTTGGCCTGTCCCTCCCTGCCCTTGTCACCAGTCCCTCTCCAGCTTTCCTGGAGCCCCTGCAGGGACTGGAAGGGGCTCTAAGGTCTCCCTGGAGCCTTCTCTTCTCCAGACACCCATATCATGCAAGTGGGACAAGAGATTTTATGAACCTGGCACAATATCACAGTTGTTGTGTGCTATTAACCTGAAGTAGTGCAAACTGGACTTTCTACAACCTTTATTGGTCTAAGAATCTTGTTATTCCGTTATCTCCAGCACTGAGAAGAATATACTCTTACCCTTTTATGTGCAGGGTTTCATTGCAGTTACATTCACACAAAGCTTTTCTCGGGGAAGGAGATGTCTGCTCTAGAGAACTAGAAACTAGGTCTGGCAGTAAGGGCTGCAAGTATCTGCAGACATAGCTAACTCCATTACAAATCACGTACTGAGCTAGCAACGCACTACTCCCTCGCCATAACTTAGAGTGTCTCTTGCTTATTTGGTACAACTTACACTGTAACTGCAACTAAGCTCAGAAAAAAATAAAAGAAAGAAAAGCTTGTCCATAATAATTTTCAAAATGCAGCTACAGCTGGTTTAGTACAAGCAGTGAGGAGGACAAGACCAAATCACTGATGACTGAGCAGTACTAGATAGGAACAGATTTCCTGAGGTTTCCGCCACTCTGTTCCTCTCCACCTCAGACCAAGATGCAGCATTTCTCAGAAACACTCAGAGAAATCAGGAACACGGGAACAAACTTAATCAGCGTCCAGTACTTCACCCATTCTGAAAGGCAACCTGATATTTTTAATTGCTGCTGCTTGATTTTCTGAGTCTTGCTGGCAGAAAGGAAGTCTATTCTTCCAGATTACCTTAAAAAGCAAGTAAAACAGGGGATTGACTTTGTAATTAAGAAAAAAAAATAAAATGTTATGAGCAAACTGAAAAAAAGGACCAAGGTGAGGAAGCAGAAGACAACGACCAGCTGAGATGGGACTGCCACTCAACAAGGGAAGCGTGATGGGGCAACAGTACACATAAAGCAGACGGAAGTGATGAAAGAAGACTAATTTCTGAAGTCCCTGTAACAAAAACAGATGGGCAAGAAGAAAAAAAAAACAAACAAAAAACCAATGGAGCGCTGCAGCTACAACTGAGCTTTACCACATCACTCCCACAAGAGGTACGCTGTTAAAGTGTTATTGATTTCCATAAGCAGTTGGAGGAGTAAGGGGATGATGCTGTTGAGCAGTAGGAGAGTGATCTGGGGCTGAAAGAGTCCAGAGTCCACTTCTGTCATCAGTTCTGCTGGGTGACCCAAGGCAAATCACTTAATCAGTGCCTCAGCTTCCATCTCTGGTGAACAGCAGTAAAGACGTGTCCTTTATAGAGCGTTTCAAGAGCTCCTGATGAAATCCACTGAACGATGAACACAAGAGTGCTGTTTGAACATAAAAATTCTGACTCTATATATGACCAAAACCCCTCCCTTAGGATGCAACAGCCCAATATCAACATCCCAACAGAATGAGAATCAATCTGCCCGTGCCAATATTCTGCCCTGGGCTCTAATGGACTGTCCTTTCTCCTTTCCAGACCAGGATTTGAGACAGCTGAGACACGACTCAGCCTTGACAACCACTTTTCAACCCATAAGAAGACACAAACAATTAGGCATGGGTAGGCAGGGAACTGAGGAGACATACCTTTTCTCAATAGAATCAATGTTGGAGTGCAGCAGCCACAGCTCCTCAGCATTATCTTGACGCCGTGAAGAAAAAATGAGATGATGGCCAGTCAAACACAGAGTCCCCTCCACTGCCAGGTAGAAAGGGCGGTGCAGGACGACGTTGTCCGCTCGAGGGGTCTTGATCAGCTCCGCAAACTCCATGCTTGCTAGCAAAGGGAACGGGCCTGGGGAGGCCTTCGCCACAAAAACGTGACGGGAAAAGAGGGGTATAACCTCACCAACGCCAGCAGGGATGGGATGGAGAACCTGGGACAGCCCCGGGATGGCCCACAACCGGCCGTTAGCCCTGTCCGGCGCCACGGAAGGCAGGCAGGGCCTAACCCGAGGGGCGATCCCGGGGCGGGGGGAAAGGTGAGGCGGGGAGGAGGGAGGGAAGGGCGGGAGGATCCCACAACCCCCGCTGGGAGAAGGGCGATGCCCTCAC